TATTTTTTTGTAAGGACAGGGTCTCGCTGTGTTGCCCAGGCTGGTCTCGAACTCCTGAAGTCAAGCAATCCTCCTATCTTGGCTTCCCAAAGTGTTGGGATTACAGGCATGAGCCACTGCACCCGGTTTTTTTTTCCTTTGATAGATAACTGAACCCCTGCTATGGGCCCTTATCATTTCGTCCAGTTGGTTGCAGTAGATATCCCCTGTAATGGATTGACCAGATTTCATGAAGCCATAGCGGATAATACCAGCACTGGACTGCCAAACAGATACTATAATTTTCTTTTGATGAATGTTCAGTTTTGGACTGTGTTTTGGCACTTCATCTTTATCCATCCATACATTGTGCTGAATGCTTGAGATTGTCAAAAAGAATCCATTTTTCATCACACATAACAGCATGGTGTAGAAATGGTTCGTTCGCCTTTATGTTGTGACAGGAAAGAAAGGCAAGATTTGAGACAATTTCTCTTCCGATGCTCATTTAATTCATGCGGAACCCATCTATTCAGCTTCTTTGCCTTGCTGATTTGTTTTAATTGGTCCAATATTGTTGGACTAAGAACATCAAACCTTGCTGCTAATTCACACGTAGTTTGAGATGGATTCGCTTTAACTACAGCTTTCAGCTCATCATTATTCACCTTGGTCTCAGGTCGCCCACATGGCTCATTTTCAAGATTAAAATCACCAGAACGGAATTTCTCAAACCATTGATACACTGTGTTCATTAATTAGCCACATCCTTCCCAAACACTTCGTTGATATTTTGAGCTGTTTGTGCAGCATTGGTTCCATGATGGAACTCATATTTGAAAATAATACGAATTTTTGGCTTATTCATGGTTTCACAAAAATTGCTCTTAAAAATTTTTTTTTGAAAGATAATCCCAGGCCACAATGTGTGTTTGAAAGATTAAGGATGTACCTTCACAATAAAAATAGAACAAGAAGTGTCAAAGTGAAATGTCAGAGATATCAGCTGTCAGATTTAGTCCTTAAGGACAGTGGACATTTCATGCTTAATAACCTAATACTAAAGGTGTTATTACAGAAGTAGGAGAGGGGAGGAGTCTGCTATTGCGGTGCCTATGAGCCCAGGCACTGTAGTAGATGCTTTACATATGGGATTTCATTTCGTCTTCATAGCAACCTA